TGTCCAGAAACTCTCGTGACAAACGAAGACCGGATATTCCTCAGATAATTTTAAGACAATTTAACCCAATTCACCTAGTCCAAAAATGCTTCCTAAGAGAGCTAGAGCTCTTTGAAGATGGCTGATTGCCATTAGTTTTTTTTTAAATAACTTCAGAACGCTGCTATTTAGAAAAACGAACATTGGTACGATTATTTATCCACCAGAGTTGAATCGATTCCATTAATTGGTAATTTTTAGTACCGCTCATAGGCATCCGTTTTGGGTAGGTCAATGGTTATTTTAACGCATAACTTTTTTATAAATTTTAAGCATTTGTGATACTAGATTATTAGATTTTCAGGTACTACTAAAAGGTACTCTTTAAGTCGATAGGATACATCGTTTTCGAAAAAAATCGATTTGAAAATTTTTCGTTTTTTCATCATGACATTTAAATTAACATTTTTTTGCATTAGTTGGCTTTGAAATGTCAACAGAACCATAAACTACGTTTTTCATGGTCAAATTGTTGTCAGTTCGTGAAGTTTCTCGTTTAGTTTTTATTTTATGGCATTCAAACACAACAATTTCAATTCAACAAAAATGGTTTTTACTAACGAGAAATACGCTGACATGCATGTAGTTTATTGCAAAATGAGGTGTAATGCTCGAACAGTAACCTAGATACCCTGAAAAATTTCCGGATTAACAGAAACAAGTTCAGTGTTTTAAAAAAATTATGAAACTGGACGACAAAATGATGTAAGCAGCACATAATAAAGATGTTATTTTAATGAAACTTCAGGAAAATTTAGAAATTAGCGTTCGAAGACTGTCTGCCATGTATCCCACAATTTCAAAATCTTTCGCAGGAAATATCTTACACAACGAAAATTTATATCCTTATCATTTAACAAAGAAACAAGCACTGCTACAAGGAGATTTTCCTTGTTTCCTTTTTTTTTTGTTCTGAAGCTATTTTATTGTGGCATTTTAAATTAATTACTGGGAATAAGCCACAATTAAAGATAAAAATACGTTTATTGACGTTTCAATTTCCACTTCGGAAATCGTTCTCAATATACAAACAGTTTGTATTTTGAGAACGATTTCCGAAGTGGAAATTGAAACGTCAATAAACGTATTTTTATCTTTAATTATGGCTTATTCCCAGTTAAATAGTAATTAATTTAAAATGCCACAAGAAAATAGCTTCAGAACAATATTGGTAAAGTTAGTTTTCAGCATCCAATATCGTAAATCTGGGAAGGCATAATCAAGTCACCCATACACAAGGGTTAAATCTCTGACATGATTAGTTTCTCCATAATACTAGATTTTACAAAACTCATTTTTTCAGCGGTATATACTTTTCGGGTGTATAATACCCAAAACTGTGATCAATTTGTAATGTTCCATTAAATTATCAAGGTTCCAGATCGGTTGTAAAAAAAGTTTTATGAAAAAATGTAACGTTGGGATCAAGTCTCCCTCTTCTCTCCTACTATATCAGTGGCTGGTAGTGAAAATATTTTGTAAAACAGTTAATAAAGTGATATTTTAATAAGTTTATGTAAAGAATCACTGATATGTGATTAGTATTTACTATATGTCTAATTAAAAGAGGAGAAAGAAAGTGAACTTGATATATTATAGTAGGCTTGCATATGAAATGCTACAATCTAATTATTGCTTTATATACGATTAAAATGAAGAAGGTAAATAAACTTTATATTTTTATGTTGAAAATGGAAGAGGGTTTGATCAGAGGCCAAATAATAAAATTGAGAACATATGTAATTTGTATTCCGATTTGTAGAGGGTACTATTTATTTCATATACCGGGTGGTGAATCGTCAAACGGGCCATAGGAAACTCAATGGGAAATTTTAAATTGTTGAATTGCAGCTTCCCTAATTATTGAATTTGATCAAGTTCAAATGAGATAAAATTTATTTTTATTTGTGTTTTTTCTTTCTTAATTACTTAGTAACATAAACTCTGTTGCTTGTTTAATAACTGTAATATTATTCGCTGTGAGCCGATGAGTAGAGGGGATTTGACAGTTTTCACCAACGCTGTTAGTGGCAGTTTTGTGCATTTAACTTGTAAACATTCAAATAATGGCGAATATGGATTTTTCAAAAAGAAAAATATATGATACATGTAAAAATACTGGGTACAACAGTCATTGTAAATTTTATTCATTTCCTGTTGCCAAGCATAAAATAGTTCAAAGAGAAAAATGGATTATTGCTATCAATGAGAAAAATAAGTAAATAACCTATAATGCAAACATGATATTTGTATGGTGTAAAATTAAAAAGCTATTATATTCCGAAACATTGCGTACATGCCCTGCATCAACTAAACCTTTTCTCTTTTTTGGTGTAGCTGGATGAAATGGGATATCATGTGATATAGACTTAAAACCAGTATAATGTTTAATATCCATTTTGATAAAATTAAAACAAATTTAAGAGGTGGAGGCCATAAAACGAAAGAAGAAAAAGAAGAATTAAATAAATTGATATCTAAGCACTAAGGCCTACGCACACAAAAAATAACTGAGCAAAAACAAAATAAAAATGTAAAATAAAAACAAGAATTACAACGTTACAGAGGTAAAGGTAACCTTTAACTAAAGAATATAGACGTTTTAAGCGTCTATAACCTTAAATATTTGCTTTAACCATTAAAAATTTTCATATAAACTTCTTCTTTTTCTTAATGACCTCTTGCGTAAGTAGTCATCCAGTCGCGAGAACTTATATCTTAAATATTATAATTATAATGAATAAAATAACAAGGCGTAATTAATTTTACTATTAATTATGTGTCTTCGTTCATTAATCAGTTTACCATAATATTTCAGTTCATTATTTTGTATTTTTAAATAAATATCTATTTTTCTCGTTTTGTCATATTTCATTTACACTGATTTTACAAGAAAAGTACAAGTTTCAAACCGCGAGAGAGCGCTACCGGCGAAACTCACAGCGAATATCAAAATTTGCAATGAAGGTTTGCATAAACATAGACACTTCCTGTGTCAAACTCACCTAAAATAAATATAAAAAATAGAAGAGACATGGAAACCTTAGTAATAAGTTTTGACAGAAATAAAAAGTAAATCAAATTTAATGTCATTTTGTTAATGACATAATGACAAAATGTAAAATTTTGCTAATTTTAAAACACAATTCTCACAAGAGTAAGCCTATTGAAGACATAAGAACTTCATTTTTCTAATGTAATTTTTTATGTTAATTTTTAGTATGTTTTGAAAAAGAGTAAAATAAACTCGAAAGCTTAGCAAACCTAAAAGAGTTTTACTTAAAGGCCAATATATTGACTACTAAATCCAATATATCCGTATATATATATATATAGGATTTGAAACTTCCGCGGGAGCTATATGTGGTTTCAGTTGTTTTCCGGATTTGACTCCGCGTTAAATAGTTTTGTTAAATTTGTTAATATTTTAGAGAAACCATTGTTTTGGCGACGTTTCGGCAAGGTCACACTTGCCATTGTCAAGTCAGTCAGATTAGTTCTGTTTCTTCTTGATGTTCCAGGCGAACTGATCAGTTCGATCATACGAAAGCTTTTCTTCCTTAAATCGAAGGTGACACTGACAAAATCGAAAAATTCTAAAATCAAGAGGAATAAAGACAATATTTACTCTCAACAAAAACTTTTATCTCTTGTCCGACCAATTAAAGACAATATTCCAAATGAACAATACGGAGTTTATGAAATTCCTTGTGCAGACCTATATACCAGGAATAAAGAAAGCTGAGCAACTCTTTAGAATAGCTCGAGACAGAGACAGTTTCGCCATGTTAATCGCCAACGTCAAGGGGACTTGATAGGGCACGTTAAGAAGAAGACCTATATACGCCAAACAAATCCTAGAATCCAAAATAGGATTTATGAACATTCCATTTCTGTTCGCATTCCGACTCAATTTCAGCTCTAGGTCACCACCATCTTCATACAGGTAACAAAATAAAATTTGAAAGCTCCAGAATCATAGCTCCCATTATCTTCTATAAAGAAGAACTTAGTTTCTACACGTATTTTTTTACTAGATATTTTTGTATCACCTACTGATGATTGTATACTAATTAAAGATGTAACTTAAATTTTTACCCTAGAAATGGGAAACTGTTGGGTAATAAAGCTATTATTTATTTATTTATTTATTTATAAACCAAGAATTATCTGAGAAGCTATAGAAACTGAAAAAAGGCCAAATTGTCTCAATAAAAGAGTTGACGGTATACGTTTACCTTAGACTTGAGTCCTCTCATAAAGAAAATACCATCCGCTCCACCCGTCAATTAAAATCCCACTCTCAAAAATGTTCACGACGAACCTCCGCACCAATCCCCACACTAACCCCCCACACCAACCGCCACCCAAACCACGTCACTATCGATGGTATAAATGACCCGTCTTCTATTCCCTGCACGAGTAATACATTGATTTCTGATCAGTATAGTAGCGTCTCCGGATGCCCTGGAGAAGACATCGAACGGCATGTCGAAAACTCGGCGCAATGATAATCGACGCAGTTAGTTAAGTTAGTTAATTAATAATAGTAATATATTATAAAATAAATAATTGTGTTTTAGTGTTAGTGTAGATCAATTAAAATAAGTTTTAGAAGACTGGAAGACTAAATAAAAAACATTGCAATATACTTGATTGTGACTACATTAATTCCAAGTAAAAGTATTTGCTACGCTTTACTCATGAGGCTCATTAATTTGTAGCAATTTGAAGTCACTCTAAAAACAATTTTTAATCTTTATATTATATTAATATTATTGAAGGTCTAAGGGTATTAGAAAACGTCCAGAATACCTGGACAGAAGGTCCAGATTTTGAGAATTTTGCTGTACAATCCTAATAGATGTTCCTCATTCCAGATTACGATATGGTTAGCCAAAATATTTATGTTTTAGTTGAAAGCAGACGACTAATTAAGCTATTTTTAAACTTCTACTTACATGCTGAAGCATCCATAGCCCCCCTATCACAAATTATAAGACAGTTTCGTTTGCAGGTTTTCCCAAGTTCAAAAAAGGTTTCTTCAATCTGCAGCATAGTTTTCAATAAATGTTCTTGGAATTTCACACCTGTAATAAATAAATTCATTTTAATAAATATTTACAATCAATAAATATAATCCAAAGAATAGAAATAGGAATGTACAGTTATTGTTTGTGATAGGTATATTTTTTGGGTATAAACCACAAATTTTTAACTCGTTTACTGCCACCAATTTTCGGTTGGTTTCAGCAAAGAACCAAATCATTTTTTCGCTTAACAGTATTTAACAGCGTTAGAACTGGCAAATGCGCGGTATTGGCTCTTATAAGAGCCACCGGTAGTGAACTAGATAAGAGATGCCAAAAAAACATAACCGGACAACAACAGATGAATAACTCTTCACAAGTCTACTCAAGGACAAATTTGAATAATAAATAGACAGCAAAGAAGAACAAGGTTTCAGAGATGATGACGGACGCAATATTCAATATGAAACATTGTGAAGCAAAAATTGATTGTGAGTAAGTCTTATTCTTATTTCTTTTTATCTATTTGAATGGACTCAAGCAAGCAACATATTCAAAATATAAAGAACCATCTTTATCTCAGTATGTTCGCATACAGCGTATTCAATGGGCAGGCCATGTATTTAGGATAGAAGAAAACAGGGGTCCAAAAAAACTGTTGAATGCAGGGGAAGAGACCTATTGGAAGACCGAGAAAGCGATTGGACGATGATGTAGATGGGGACACCAGAAATCTCCTTGGCAGTCGATCATGGAGAAAAATGGCTATAGACCGTAACGGATGGAGTGGTTTGATGAGGGAGATCAGGGTTCGAATTGGGCTGTACAGCTATATGATGGATTATTATTGAGTAAGTATATTTTAAGGAGTATCCCTTTAAGGTACTTAACTGAAGCAATTTTGAATGAGTGGAGGGATTATAAATCAAATGGTTCATTTTACATATGGTTCATTATTTTACTTAGTATCCTTCTTTACTTTTTTTTAGGTCACAACTTGGTGAAGTATATTCTTTACTTCTTCTTTAAGATTCTTTTTTGTCCGTTTTTGGTGGCTTTTATTTCTTCGAATGTGTTTGTTAATCTTCGTTTTTTTTTTCATAATACACTGTTATTTATGGGCATGCAAATTGGCTGACTCCATATTTAACTTTTTTTTAGTTGTCACTCTTTGTTTTCTTCAGCCGAGAATTTTGCATTTTTCTTTTATATTCTAAGTTTATTGTATTGACACCAACTTATGGGTGCTCAACTTCTCCTAATTTTGCTTCATTGACGCCTTCACCCTCCATTTCCCACATTTGAACTCCAACACTAATTTTGTTACAATGACAATAAGTTATTTGAATTTTCTATTAAAAAAAAACTAATAAAATGTAGGAATAAAAACATATTTATATTATTTATAACAGAATATCAAAAATTTGTTTTAGAATAGTCTAATTACTTTTAATCACGATTAGATAATAAAAACATAATTTCAAATACTATCAAAAACCGCTATATTTTATGTAGCTATACTCTACTTTAATATTCGTTTAAATATTGTCAAGCCTGATCGGTTTTCGTGTTTAAATGTAATATCTCTATATCGACACTGGTAATTGCTTTGCTTATATTTATATAGCTAGCCAGTAATGGCATACATTTTTAATCTGATTATATTAAAATATGATGATGATGTAATTACAAAGCAACAAAAAATATCATTGTTAACATGATTCTAATTAAGAAATAATCACTAACAATTTGGATCGTATTTCTAATTTTATCTTTAATAAAAGATAAAAACCAAATCAAGACAGCAATCTGCAAATGATTTTTTTATTGTTTACATACAAACACTTTATATTTAAAGATAAAGATTACATCATTTTACAGTGACATATAGTCACTTCCTGTAGTTATTATTAAAGCCATAATATAATACCAAGCTATTACAAACTTCTTTCATTTTGATGCTTTGTTTAATTATTGTATTCAATTTACAAGTAAACTGAACCAGGCTTGATTTGCTTCTTATTTTTGAATACGGATATTTATTATAAAATATAAAAGATGCAGCAACAGAAGCTTTCGAAGTTAAGCGTTGAAGAAAAGAAAATTCTGCTCATAATTGAAGAGGTAGATTCCAAAAGGTCCTAAGTCAAAAAAGTAAATTTTTTAGGAATGAATTTTTTTATTGTTACGATAATTATGACTCTAACTGTAAACATATTCTAATTTTATTTTGTTTTACTGAGAATTTCGAAGGGATTCTGGATTAATTGTATTTTATATTTAAGGATGAAATTTTGTTGAAAAGGGTCAGTTAGTTTTTGAATATTTTGAATAAAGTCGAGTTTTTAGATCGAGATATAATTGTACGCGGAAATAAATATAAATAAATATTGTTATAAATTAGTGAACATTAATGAAGACTTTAATAAATTTGTAAGTGTTATAAATAGAACCTTTGATAATAAATAAAAACAATAAATTACATTAATAAAAATAATACACTATGTTTAAGCATATAATTAAATGTTACTTTGGAATAGAATCAGTCATGTAATTTGCAGGTTCAAATTCTTGTTTCAAGACAATTGAAAGTAAGATTTGAACGCAAAATCATGGCTTTTAAGAAGTTAAACATTTGTTTTTTTTTTCAAGACGACCTTAAATCAGTAGCTTAAACACTTTTAGAAAATTGATGTGGTAGATACAAGAAATAAATGAGGAACAAAAAGTAGAACCCATAACAACAGAGGAACTAGAAAAGGCAATTTAAAGAGTTAAATTAGGCAAAGCACCAGACAAGGGTCATATCACCCCGGAAATGATAAAATTCATGGGAATAGAGGGAGTGGGCAGCATGAAAAAACTAATGAATGATATCATAAAGAGAGCAGAAATACCACAGGACTGGAAGAAAGACATTATACTACCAATACACAAAAAGGGCGACAAGAGAAACTGTAATAATTACCGAGGTATTACTATATCAAGTATTCCTGGGAAGGTATTCGCAAGAATAATAGAAAAAAGAATAAAAACCCAAATAGAACCAACTATGGAAGATACACAATGTGGATTCAGGAAGAACAGAAGCACGCAAGACCACATATTTACAATAAGACAATTAAGTGAGAAAGTAATCAACAAAAATAGAGAAATATATACGTTTTATTGATCTGGAAAAGGCGTTTGACAGAATCCAAAGAAAGGACGTATGGAGGACATTAAAGGAAAGAGGAGTTGACAGGATAACAATTGATATGGATTATATGGTTGATATAACTAGTAACAAGTGATATGATTTATGGTAATAAAGGATATGTACAATAATAATACAAATACGGTGAGAACCAATAACGAGGAATCCGAAGAATTTACTACAAGTCAAGCCGTCAAACAGGAATGCGTGTTAAGCCCACTTGCTATTCTCAGTGGTACTGATGAAGCAATAAAGAAAGCCAAGAGAAGAATGAGAAAACTAACATTAGGATACTGGCAAATAAAACAGACTCAACTATCAGAGCTTCTATTTACAGACGACATGGTTTTGATAGAAGAAAACAGAGAAGACCTACAGAACAACCATGAAATCCTAGAAGAACTGTCAAACATAAATATGAAGATAAATACAGAGAAAACAAAAACAATGATAATTTCAAATAAGAGAAAGACACACGCAATACAATTAAATGGAAAACAAGACATGGAAATAAATGAGAGAATGGGACGAACAGGAAGCTTATTGGGAACTACGAAAAACAACATTTTTGGGGAAAAAAGAAATACCGGAGAAGGTAAAAACGGCAGTCGTTAAATCAGTAGTTAGACCTACAATCATGTATAATAGCGAGTCGTGGACATCGACTGGGAGACAAAAATCTCGAGTCAATGCTATGGAAATGAGGTTCCTGAGGAAAATAGCAAACAGAAAGAGGACAGATAAAATACGAAACGAAACAATCAGGCCAAACCTAAAAATACAACTAATAAACGAAAAAATAGTAGAGGGGCAACTAAGATGGTTCGGGCACGTGTGTAGAATGTTGAATGAAAGATTAACAAAACGAGCGTTTGAAACGAGAGTGCAAGGGAAAAACAAACAAGCAAGACCAAGAGTTAGGTGGGTAGACGAAATCAGAAAAGAAGTTGAGAAGAAAGAATTGATATGGGAAAGTGCACGAAATCTAACACAAGACCGGAAAGCATGGAGACAACAGTGCAAAACTTAACTCCACCAGCCTTACACCTAACGGTAGAAAGGCTTAGGACTAAATAAGTAAGTAAGTCATGTAGGAGACAACTTAATATTACTATTCATTTGTAAGTTTATTGATAATCAGAGCTTGTCTTTAAGATGCCAGCAAAAGTTTAATAACTATCTAAGTACATAATTAAAAATTAATTTTATTCATTAAAATCAATTACTCACTTTTTTCTCAAAATTTGAAAAGCAAAGTTGAAAAATCTTTCAAATAAAAGGCTCTAGTTCTTCATACACTATTAATATCGTTGGAACCATTTTGCACATTGGTAAGTGCAGTATTATGAAAGTCTTTTGAACTTTCAGATAATGAGATAAATTTGAGAAGGTTTTTCACATGTTTTTTCTTCTTTTCACTTACATGATTCACTAATGGCATAGACTTCACTGTACTGTACATTCTTAGTAAATTGTATACTTTTTTTATAACTTTAAAAGTACTAGAACCACCACAGTAGGTATTTTTATCTTTAATGTCTTTATTACTTTTATCTGAAAATGAACAAACTCGTTCACGCATCAAAAAATGTTCCATGAAATCCAATCCAACATCCAAAAAATGTTCCATGAAATCAAAATGTTCCCAGTCTTTTCCTAAAACTTAAACTGTAACTGAAGATGTAAACACTTTGTAGTACTCCTCTGGTTGAACTATGGTTTCTGTTCTTCTAAATATTTTTTCAAAACGTCCAAATACTCGATCAGGAGGCATATAACTATGTCCACTGATTGGAAAGCAATGCTGAATATCACTAAACGCTCTGGAAGTCTGCACATAATTAAGTAGAAAACCCAAAACATT